TTTAGGGTCAGCGACAAGTTGGATAGATCCTTAAACAAAGTCTCGGGAAAGGGTAAACACGGCGCGCAGCCATTGCAGACTAACTCGAATGTCTGTACCATATCGTGCCTGGACGGGCAAACATACGTCATCAAGTGCTGTATGATAGGAAAGTTGGTGGAAGTTAACGAGGCGTTGTCAGAGGATCCGCAACTTCTCAAGGGACCGCCGCATAAAGGTGGATATTTGGCTATAATATTGCCGAATATAAAACTCTTGGAAAGTTTAAAGCAATCTCTGTTGACTCACGAACAATATATTGAACTTGTTGAAGAAAGAGAAAAGAAGTGACGTAGTAATAAATGAAAATTTTATCTATTGACAGCTGTTATTGCTGAGAAATGATTTGGTCAATTTAATAACAGCAATGAACAATTTATGAGAAACTAGGTAGCAATTATTAGAATTGGAAATAATTAAGATTTTGGATGAATAAATTAATTTGACTTTCTTACGTATATCCTAATTTTCTTCTATCCTTGTTTTATTCTAAGATGTTATTAATTATCTTAACAATCATACAATCGCTGTTTTCTAATATTGATTTTGTTCATATATCAAGATCCATTATTTTGTTATTTCATAAAAATGAGGTAAACACGGTTAAACCATAATACTGATGGTACGATTAAATCTATACGCTTGAATATATGCTTGATTTATAATACCTCAAGTAAATATAAAAATTTCTATATTTGAAATTAATGTAACATTTCAGAATTTATGGCATGTGAATTGAAGAATATTTATTTACTAATATAATTTTTCTGTTTCATCTAGTTTAATGTAATTTACATAATTTAAAATACTAGTTTTACCTAAATTTACATAATTCAAAGTGCTAATTTTACATAATTTAAGACTGCTATATTGAAATTCGTAATTATAAATCATACCTATTTTTTATTTCATCTAATTTTTCATCTAATACAACACTTAGGTGCTTTCTTTCTTCAATTTCATTTTCTTTTTTTACGATTGACTTTTTCATTAAGTTTCCTAACACAATACCAATAAATAATATCATACCTACTTTGTGATTAGACATAAATTTTTTGGCGCAATCCGTGGGATTGTTAATGTTCAAAGTATATATCTGAAAGAAAAAAATTCCTTTATTCGAGTGACAATTATTTTAAATCGATGTCTAATAATTTTTACCTGGTTGCTAATATGCGTTGCAATCAATCCAACAGCAGTATAGTATGGCCAAGTTTGAGTAGTTAATACACCGGAGGTGATTAAACTCGCAATCATCACTATTCCAAAACCAGACAAATAGAATTTCGTGTCCTTCCCGAATTTTATAGCGGTCGACTTCATGCCTAGCAAAATATCATCCTTTCTATCCTAGAACACAAAAAAATTCGTGAGCGATATGAGAAGCGCAAAAAGTTATTACATTTCTGCTGTACGTACTTGATGAGCATATATCGTATCGTACATAATAGTCCAACAAATACCAGCTACGTAGAGGGGCAAGCATATAGACCAATCGCACGATCCGTGTATAGCTGACCACCCTAGTAAGGCACCCCAATTAAAAGTCATTCCCAGAATTAATTGCGGCCAGTACGTTATTCTTTTCATAAGGGGATAAATTATTACTAGACCTAAAAAAGAAAATACAAGATGTGTCATATTAAATATTTTAGATTCATTTTAGAAAGACAATTATATAGGCCTTCGATATATTATGTAATACCTAGTGAACTGGCACCGAGAAATACGCTGTACCAATTTAGTTGCAACAAAACAAGTAATCCTAAACTCAATTGTCCAGCTAGAAACATTAACGACTGTTTTGGCGTTATTTGACCAGTTACCAAAGGTCTGTCCTTCGTTCTGGCTACCTGAGATAACGAATTTACATAAACCATGATATCCAAGAGACGAAGAATGTTGTCACAAAGAATTTTACCATTTTGTCAATGTCCTGATCCCACATGTCATTTATGGTGCATCCCGCACCGCGCATTATGAATGCACCCGTACCAAAAAGCGCTAACATATGGAGATCTGGTAAGGCGCCGGCAGAAGCCGCCATGGCGATACTCCATCCACAGGGCCAAAATAGTAACCAGCTTCCTGACAGAGAATTTAGAAAAGAACAGAGATTGAATATACGCAACGTATTCGTTAATTGTAGTTAATAGATAATTGTTTGAATAATCGGGACTTACCTATCGGTTTGTCTATTCTCATAAGTTTCATATACGGTTGTACTTTAGGTGAGGCATTATTGACTAGCTTTGCGGCGATGCTCAAGCATCTCTTCCGCTGTGAATCTGGTAACTTGACACAAGTCAATGTATCTTCTATCCTTAACAAAGAATAGGTCGTCCTGAGTACATTGGGACTCGCTTCATATTTGTACTTATGGCATACCGCGGAGAAAGGAATCTTTGTACATGGTCTAAAATTCACAGCCCTAGGGTTTAACAGCTTGAGGCTGGAATACGTTTTATGTGACAGCAAACTGACAGCTCCAGTGAACCAGCGGCATCTTTTTACAATTATCATTGTTCACCTATAATGATATTGAAAGCTTAAATGAATAAAACTGATACATTCTTAATTTGTTAAATATATCAATGGCTCTGTCGTCGAGTCAACTGTCTTATATCTTTGCCGTGTGAAAGGTGATAAAATATTTGTTTGACAAAACGAATGTATGTGTTAAGAAAATAACAAATATTAGGATATATATCCTACTAAGAAAATTCCTACTAAATATCCTACTAAAAAAGAAAATTATCAAATAAGATTGAAATCTAACCTCTGGCACAGTATATATATAATCTTCGGATTGACTGACTTGGCAATTAATTTGAAATGTCATCGACGAGATTACTCGATAGAGGGGATAAAAAAACTTTTAAGACGTATACTTTAGTCTTCATTATCCGAAATAAGATATTGTCAAGAAAAAACGTGAACATTGTTGAGGTTATACGCTCCGGTAAATTCAGAGATATAGTTTTGTATAATTTTAGCAATCTTAACAACAGACCTGCGTACTTGATAACGCATAACTGATTGTCATTGGGTCATTGTCGTTGCGTTTTAATCACTTTAACACGCTTTGATCCTCGTGCTATTCTCGCACGTCTCACGTTGCGATAGAAAATCACAAAATAAATCTACACCGGGTGCACGGTGCACATGGATGACGATGACATAAGTCGTCGATCACGTGACCGGGCTCGACAGGTGCGTGCTCTGATACCTATATACTGTCCAAAATGCTTCCAGAAATCCGTAAATTATTTTTATTTTCTACTACCATTTATATATCCTGCAACTTACATAATGTTACATATTATATTAAACTTATATATATCTATATATAATATTATATAATATTAATCACATATATAATATTAATGTGTAACATTAATTATAAAATTAATGTTACACATTAATATTATCTATATATGTGACTTATTATAATTTTTAATGTGCTTTGATCTATGTATTATGTATAAAATGCTTATCAATACTTATATTGATAAAATATCTATAACAATATAGATATATACATAATTTCGTATTTATTGTAATATGAGTGAGATTCTGGAGTTTTTCTTACTCTTGCATTAAATGCTGGTATTTCTGTGATAAATGAACTGCAGACGAAACAGATAAATTTAATTGTTTCCATTTATTAACTGTAATATTTACTTCAAAGATAATTTAATATTATTGTTTTTACTACCCAATTCTTATTCTTTTCTCATAAAGACTCTTTACTAAAGTCTATAATAGTTCACAACAATACTCCTTTATCACAATACGATACGCACGCGACTGAGGTTTGATTGTTCAATAGCGTCTGCTAGTGTTTATTTTACTGCGCATGTCCAACGTATTTTATGCACGCGAGATTACATAATGCCATTCTCGTCTTATTGAAATTTTATAAAGAGAATCGCAATTTCGAGAATTTTTAAAAATTTAAATCGCCAAAATTTAAATTAAAAAAAAAAAAAAAGTATAGAAAAGAATATAATAATATATGAGATAATTCTTTTCCACTGTATTCATTATTGGAATGAGCAATATGATGATCACTATGAACAATAATACACAAACAGTATTTGTAAATAATTGATAAAACTTTATATGTAGTAGAGCATTTATGATTGTTTAAAATTTTAAATTATATTTGTATTAATATATTGATTTAATATTGCATGAGTTGTCTTTAATATTATCTAAAAGCTATTATTTATCTTTAATTTAAACCTTCATGCGTATGAAACACAAATGTTAAAGCGTCATCATCGAGATATGTACTTTAAAGACGGACAATTTTATGGAAGTTTGCGTAACTATTAAAATTTAGACAGCTTATAATATAATACTAATTTTATGACATATTATTATGATATATCATCTTGATATTTAACAGATAGATGCCTGGGATTAAGGGTCTTAACAAAATTAACTTGTCAGATAAAATTTTGAATCATAATTAATATATGAAATATATCTAAATGCCTAATGATGTTTTGACATCATATTGATGCAAAAGTTTATGGTTTATGCACTAACAATAAGATGTTCGTAAAATTATAATCATACGTGGACGAAGGAGAAAGAAAACAAAAACGGATCTATTTTGAACGTTTAAAAGCGGCCAAGTATCATCGTTGATTCGGATGGACCGCAGCTTTCCGCATTCCCGGCCACGTGGGCCTTTTAAAAAATGGCGCCAGTCACGACCGCCGCGTGTGCGTCGTGTGCGTGACGAGACGGCCGCGGAGTGCGGAGTGCGGACCGATTGACGACATCGACGTGCGTGTATACTGTGTGCATAGTATACGTAGCGATTCATGCTACGGGCTCTCGCGGCCGGCGCGCGACGTTGCATCCGCACGATGACCACTGTCACGCAGAAGCCGGAGGTGGTGTTCATCCTGGGCGGCCCGGGCGCCGGCAAGGGCACGCTCTGCCGTTACATCGTCGAGCGTTACGGCTATGCTCATCTGTCGGCCGGCGACCTGCTGCGCGAGGAACGCGCCAAGCCTAGCTCGGAGTATGGCGAGCTCATCGAGACGCATATCAGGAACGGCACGATCGTCCCCGTGGAGATCACCTGCAGCCTCATCGACCGCGCCATGCAGACTTCCGGGAACCCGCACCGCCGGTTCCTCATCGACGGCTTCCCCAGGAATCAGGATAACCTCGACGGCTGGAACAAGGTATCGGTCAAGAATTATATCTGTCCTTATCTGTCTTGGCTTATATCTCTTGAATTTATTTACATTAGTTGAACCTGGAATTGCCAGTAAATTGTCAGAATTTGTCTACAACTGAAATGCACACTGTGGTTCTTGCAATCGACGTGCAGAATAATAAGCGGGAAACCGGGGAAACACAAGACTTTTGCACAACGCATAATGCATACGCATAAGAAAATTGATTGGTCTATTTTCTATTTCCTTATGCACATGTATATGGACCAATAATCAATTTTCTTATGCTTACGCATTATGCGTTATGCAGAAGTGTGTGCTCCCCGCTTAATATTGTATTTTCATTTTAAAAAAATATGTATAAATAGATATTTAATGGAAGCAAAGTAACAGAATAGGTATATCAAAATATAATATGTTGTATTTCATGTTACATATGTTGATGGCAGGTGATGGCTGACAAAGTTATCCTGAAGGGCGTAATATTCTGCGAATGCAGTCAGGAAGTTTGCACTCGACGTTGCCTGAACCGGGGTGCCAGCGGGAGCGGCCGCAGCGACGACAATGAACAGTCCTTGGTCCTCCGTCATCAAACTTACCTGAAAAATACTTTGCCGATAATAGAAATGTACGAACGGCAGGGCCTAGTTTATAAAGTTGATTCTATGAGAACGCCGGAAGAGGTATTTCAGGACGTCGCGGAATACTTTCCTAAGATAGGATGGTAATAACGATGGTCCTAACGATTTCTTTTGAACAAGTTCAATATTATTGGCGCAATAGTGGTTCTTTTTTTTTATTTTTATTTTGTGGCATATGGACATTTTTATTGAATAACATTCATATATTTTAGAGATTTTTTTTCCACCTTATGGGATAGAACAGGTTTATCTAATTTTGATCACTGTGTGGTATCAGTATTATATCTCAATTTTTGTAACGCGTTGCAACTTATATACTGGCTAAATATTCCTTCACAAATGTACAATAATACAATGCAAATGGATAATGGTATCAACGATCGGAATCCGAAATCTGTAAATATCCTGCCGAAATCGTTAACAATGAATGGCAGTGTAAATTCTTTGATACAATGTTATATGCATATAGCGTGCGCGTTAGTATACATAGCTTATATATTTATAGAATAAATATTTAAGCAATGTGTTATTATCGAAATGTATCGATTGAAAATTTAATAATCGTTAGAAAAAGAATTGCATATTAATGCGAGAAATGATGGAAGAGAAAAAAATAGAAGAGATGTCTATCGTGTATTTTTAATTTATACGTAAAAATACATTCCTTAAATTAATATGTCAGTATTTAATTCCAAACTTTCGGTGTTTGCCATTTTCCCTTAAAATTTCCAGATATGCAGAAAATATCTACCTTTTAAATTTAAAAAAGGCTTTCTAGCTGATTTTCATGTACCTACTTGTATGCTGTCGATATGATAGATTTCCTAATCCCAAAATTGTTATTTTAACACTGTATAACTTTTGTTCTACTTGAGAGCGACGATTTTAACTTTTACATTCGTGTTTTACGCACCAAAATACACAATATTGTAAAGTTTTAGCCTAAATCGGTGAAGAAGTCACTTTCCTTCTGATTTATCGTTGTGTGGTCAAATGGGAAACGCCCGTTATTTTGTACAATGAAAACGGTTCATTCCGTAGAAGCCTTCCATCATCCCCGTCAACATTATTCAGCAATCTTATTTTTTTTTTGCTTATATATTTTAATACATTTTTTATTTGGTATATACTTATTAATTTTTAATTTATTTATGTATATAAGACCTAGGTAGCAGAGTGACGAATTAATTGACAAATGACGTATTAATAACGTCTTAATGACATCTCTTATAACATCAATAAGACGTTATTCTGCTACCTGGAGGTTTGCATTTTATAATGTGAAAAAATTAAGGAAACAATTTTTTCTTAAAAAAAATATATAATTTCTGGATTACCATAATAGCGCAGAAAATCATATTACAATTGTTAAAAAGCATTGGATAACTTGAAACTTCTGTTTTCATTCTTCCTTTCAAATTATTTTTATTTTATATAAAACTTATACGTAATAATAAAGGGATACATCCATCAAGATACTAATATTTTTCAAGGTTTATAATGTGGAATAAATAAAAAAATTATTATCAACTTTACTAAATTCTAAAGAACAAATTTTCCTTTCCTTTGCTTCGTTAAAGATTGTTACACATTTTTTCACAGACATATTCATTGCTTAAGGGAATACCGATTTTTCGATTCTAAGCACTCATAGCTAGCTAATAACTGTACTACATTCATCGCTGGAGATCTGAAAAGCTGCTTTTTTAAATACATTAAACGTTATTCTCTCATTTAAAGTCTATTTTTAAGTGTTTTTTTTTTTTTTTTTAATAATTGTTAATTCAAAATAAATAAAATATTATGTCTGTATATATTTCTATTAAACTCTATTAAAAACTGATCAAATGTTTATAATCTTAACATTATATAATGTGATCTTAACATTATATAATCAAGCATATTACCTCACCGTATATAGATAAACTTCTAATGCCTTATCCTACCTTTGAGATAACCTAATTTATTCTAACTCCCTATCATATCTCAGTTCTCTTTCGCGCTCAATTTTTATAACGCTTAAATTCCGGATACGACAGATAACAGTTGCGATCCAATAATCTCTCGAGATTGAAAGTGCAACTGTATACTTATAATAGTGCAATTTACATTACCAGTATTTTTTTCGATAAAATACTACAAGTTTACATTATGCGCAAAGAATATGTTTCTTTTTGACAAGAGAATAATTCGACCGCAATTGTTCAAGCTCAGAAGATTCAAATAAAACACATGGCATGATGCATGAAATTGGATATTACTAATGAACGATCGCGCAAAATACTGCGCTATTTTTATAAAATTGATGTTAATTATTTTGAAGCGCTCATATAAGAGACTTTTTAGTTTAATCAAAATATTCGCATTTTTCCCTTTCTCCAAGCACTCGGGATAAATGAACTTGAACTTGTTCACGAAACCTCCTCTACTATTTTATCTTCGCAAAAAGAGATAACATTCGCGAAAACAATATCATAGGTGAAACGTGTACTTGAATCGGTCACGGTGCGTGAAGGTGACGGGCAAATAAACGTACAATGTCCTCTTATTATCGATCAAAGATACATCTTTTCGATATAACTCAAAATATTCGCATTTTTCCCTTTCTCCAAGCACTCGGGGTAAATGAACTTAAACTTGTTTATGCAACACGTGCATGGAAAGTGCCCCATTACGCACGCTACGCGTGCATGATAGACCACTTTCCAGGCACTTGCAACATAAAATAGGGAGTGTAAGCCGTGTGTAAAGATGAAAATTCCCGGGTGCGGAGTTTACGCACGAGCCGAAGGCGAGTGCGGTAACCGCATCCGGGAATTTTCATCTTACCTCACTTGTTACACAAATAACTATTACGAGGCCTTCTCTATTATTTTTATCATCGCAAAAAGATGTTACATTCGCAGAAGCAATATCACAAATGAAACGCACTTGAATCGGTCGCGGTGAAGGTGACGGACAATATCCTCTTATCACCGATCAAAGACGATGCATATCTTTTCGATATAATTCTTATTCTTATTCGATCGGTGAAGATAGCGGGTGAAGCATTTTATCATAAAATATCCACGAGATTACAGCTGTCGCTTATTCGGCAAATATAACGTAACAATTGCGTGTATCGTGATTGAATCATCCTTCCTCTGCTTGTCACCGTTTATAGGTTTATACCATATAGTCATCGACGTTGGGCGAGGCCCACCTCTCCGATGTGGGCCTCACGAAAGTTCGTTCACGTTACATTTTTCGACTACAGCGTCGAGAAAGTCGAAATACTGGTCAATGTCCCGACGAGCAATCGCATATTACGTAGAGGGGACTACATTTACAGCAGCCGGGGGCGAATTTCTTCACGAAACGATGCCGGTAGAAATTCGTACGCGACGGGCTTCCACGAGAAATTCCACAGCTGACACAACCGGACAGCGGTTTCAAGATTTTGTGTGCTTCTCTAGATAAGATAACTGAAAGTTTTAGAGCTTCTGTCGTCGCGTTTTAATCGCGCTTGTCTAGTTGCAACAATAAAATAATTATCAGTAAACGCTATTTCAATGTGTTCTTTCATTATACATATGGTAATGCCAAACATAAAATTAAAGTTCATTATGTGATATACGATTGTGCAACAGAAATATAATAACGACGAAAACATGTTATTTTCTGTCTCTCAAATTTTCGGCAGTTATAGTTTCAATCAAATAATTAACTTGCTTCTCAAACTTTCCGGTAATTTCTTACATAAAAATTTATATAAATTATTTAAAAATCGTCCAAATATCCATTTTTTCTTTTTGTATCAACTCTATCTTATATTATGTAAAAAAAATAATAAACTAAATTATTAAAAAATAACTTTTACATTGTTTTTTACAGAAAGTAAAATGGTTGTACACTGTATGCTATATATAATCATATATAATCATACTTACATGGTTATTGCATTTATACCTGATTACATATGAGCAAATGTTTCTCATTTCCTTAGACTTTACTTTTTATTAAAAAAAAATTTTTTTTATAATTATTTTTATAATTATTTTTTAATTCTTATTATTTTTCTTGTATATACGAATAGAAATTATACAAGAGAAAGAAAACACATGTATATGGATATATTTTATATATAATTATACACATTAATATTATACGTCTTTATTTGAAACATTTTTTACCGGGTTGTGTCTTTAATTTACTTTACATTTTGTATCGTATATTAACAAATATGTAAATATTATTATTATTATTATCAAAAACTTGAAATAAAAATTTAATCGATTGCACATCGCGGCGAAGTAATTGTTGCCATAGATCTCGCATTAATGGCAAAAATCGAATCTTCAACGAGATTTATCGCCGATTATCCACGGCGTAAAAACCGAATCTCGGAAAGAAGAAATGACGCAGCCGTATGATTCGACTTACATTGGATAACCTTCAAAATGTTACTTGTGCAACTGCCGGCGATATGCACTACAGCCTTTTTATTTCTATCGATTATCATATCCAATACTGGCCTTGACCTAAACATGTACATGTTTAGCGTTAAACGAACGAGATTAAAGAGTCCTCAGTCGAGCCTGAATGTACAACAGCTGCCTTCTGTGTATATATCTCCAATGACTACACGCGCTCGTTTCGGATCTATATGAAACAGTTGATCGATAGAACGAACGGATCCGATGCGAGGCTATATAATCTCACGTTATCGCTTCCGCAAAAACGGCCAGATGCGCCGAATGCGGGGGATCCATCTCGTCGTTCTCTCTTCGTCCGAAACTTCCTGGATTATTCTTCACGCCTGGCGATTGCGTTTCGCGACCCCCGGCGCGGCTTCTTCTTCTTCTTCTTCTATTAAATTGGATCCTGCCGCTTTTCAGCGGACAATACGGCCAGATTTGCCACTGTTTGTTAAACAAAGTCTGAATCACTGTTAGCGTCGCGAAGTCTAAATAGAAATTACTAGAAGTCTGAGTGGAAATCGAGGCAGACAGCAGTCGCAATCGACGCGACCCCCGCGGCGATTCGCGAGCCCTTCGTCAGACTTTTTCGAATATTTCTAAATGAAATTTCTATGTCATTTCTAACGGGAGTCGGCTCTCTTCTTTTTTTTTTAAGTGAGCGCAACATCCGACGAGCTTTCGAAGTTTGGCTTCTCATGAATTCCAGGCCTTGCGTCACGGTGTTCTGACCCCGGGCGATAAAACGCCTTTCTTTTAACCTTTCGACGATGAATAAATCAGAAGGTGATTGACATATCGAGGATCCACGAGATTAAAAGAGGTGTGCATCGAAAAGACCGATTAAGGTTTAATGAACTCGGTTGAATTACATATTTCGATGCGCCCCGTCTCGTCGCATCGCGTAGAGATACCCGCGCTAGGACCGCCAATGCGCCATTTTCAGTAGAGAAAAGTAAATGGCAAGTCGTACGCAGGGAATAGCCGTTGCTCCGGCAGATAAAAACTTCGGCATCAATGAAAATCGTGACGGTACACGATCAGATTCTACCGAGTCGAATATTGACCTTTAATTTCGAAAAACGCTAGAATTTTTATCGCGTGGTTACTTAAATAAAGGAATAAGTCTGCTTGAGACTTGTTTCTACGAATATCTTCTGCGGTTTAATAAATAAAAGATGAAACTCATGTTGAGATATATGTATTACCCATGTCTT